CGGAAATTTCTTAAAGCAAAAAGTAGGAATTGTTTTTGAATTGATTCTATCTTGTCTGAGTAAATTTGATACCTTGGATTCCAAACCACCGAGCCGTATTCCAGAATCGGCCTAACTAATGTTGTAAACAGGGTTTTAGTGATATAAGGGTCACTAAATTCTTTTGACCATCGTTTCACAAATGCAAGTACACCTTTAGCCTTGTTGACTGTCACATTAATGTGAAGATTAAAATTAAGCTTAGGATCCATTGTGATACCAAGGTCCACAAAATTGTATACCTGTTCCAGGTTATGGTTACCTATTATATAAGAAACTGGCAGAACAGCTCTTCGCGAGAAGCACATTACTTTACATTTCTTAAGATTTAGAGGCATAAGATTTACTTTACACCAGTAAGCCATGCTGTTTAAGTCTGATTGTAGCAAAGACCTTTCTTCAATTGAAACGTACGATTTATAAAGTTTTACATCATCTGCATACATTAAAATTTTGGAGAATTTTATATCTGTAGAAATATCGTTTATAAAAAGCAAGAACAGAATCGGGCCTAGGTGGCTACCCTGAGGGACTCCTGAAGTAACATCAATGACGTCAGAGATAGTATTTTTAAACAATACCCTTTGTGATCTATCATAGAGGTATGAAGAGATCCAACGTAGAAAATTAGGTGGAAGACCAAGAAGATCAAGTTTATAGATGAGCAACGAGTGGCACACTTTGTCAAATGCTTTACTGAAATCAGTATATATAACATCAACAGTTTTGCTCTCACTAAATGCCTTTGAGATATAGGATGTTAATTCAAGTAAATTTGTAGAAGTTGATTTGCCCTTGCAAAATCCATGTTGACTGTATGAAATGCTTGAAGTGATAGAATGCGTCAACCGATTTGTTATAATTGCTTCAAATAATTTAGGAATTGCAGAAAGCTTAGCTATGCCCCGGTAGTTCTCCACTGAAGACCTGCTACCGCTTTTATGTAAGGGGGTTATGAACGATTCCTTCCATACAGTTGGAAAAACGCCCTCTTTAAGAGACAAATTAAATAAGGCTGTTAACGGCTCATAGAGATAATCAGCACAGGACATTATTGAATCATGCTTCACATGTATGAGCGCCTGGTATTGGGAAATGAAAATATCAATTTGACAATAAAAACTGGTCATAAAGACAGGTCGCGGGAAAAGGGACACACATTTTTGGATATTTAAAAAATTTACATAATATGTATGTACATTAGACTGTCCCAAAAACCAACATTGTTTTTTTTACGCATACCCCCTCATTTCATTGGTGTTATCTTAAAAACTATCCGAATAAAATTTTATGCAATTTTAACCACGGCAACCCGTGCCGACTTGCCGTCAAAGTTATCAGAATAAGCTTGTTGCAGTTCGCGTGTTTTGTTAATTTACTCATTTTACTTTTTTATAGGACGGTATT